GACTTTGAAGACATTTTTGAGGCTCAAAATGTTGTTTTAATGTCAGGTTTAGGGTTCAGGCAAAGGGTCAGGGTTAGGCATTCTGTTCTGATGGGCAGGGGAAGCGGCTGGGGAAAGCATTATGTCAATTAGATGTCCTCACTAAGATATGAAAACGAGTGTGTGTATGTGTGTGAGAGAGAGAGATTGAATGTCTTTTCTTTCTGTCCACAGGCATGTACGCAGAGTGTATGCGCATGCATATGTCATACATGTGCATGCACTGTATTTTACTATGTGTGAGGAAGGGGTTGGTGGAAATCTTTGGTTATTTAATTCAGCGTCCCTAAATCATCCAATTTTGCTGCTCAGTTCAGTCAAGCCAAACAACAGCTCTCCTCTCACTGCCTCCCCCGTTCCTTCTCTCCCAGTCTGGGAAATCAATCTGATGAAAAACATTAGCATCCATCAAACCTCTTCAGCTGTAAATCCACAAGTTGATAATAGTATTCTTGCAGGTGAACATCACAGATCACAGTGCTTCCTGCTGATTGATTTCACTACAGCCAGCACTTGTTATTTTATCCATGTTCTGCACATCTGTTATTTTTTCTTTAAGCATGTATTTACATCCATTAGTATGCCAAAGAGGGACGGTGTCTGATGAAATGTATGTTTTAGAAATGCTATTGTGTAGCTCACTTATATTACCACGTTACACAAAATGTTCATATTACCTGTCAGTGCCACAGAAAAAATGTCATTTCAAGTCAATTAAGAACGTCATGATGATGAAGGAAGAAATTCTCTGGTTGCTTTTAGAGAAAGGGATGGATCAGCTGATAAAATGTTCCTACGCTGACCCTGAAGAGTGGGGAAAACACTGCACAGAACAGTGCAAGCATCAGTGTCAATATCCTTTATACTGATTAAGTCAGAACTATAAATAGCATGAAATGAAAGAGCTGGGGTGGAGATGAGGTGTAGCGAGTCCATGCTGACTGCAGCAGCTTCAATAGCATCCCCGAAATGGAATTTGTCAGTAGGTTATCACTCAGACAAGCTGATATGTCCAGATTACCGGTTGATTTGTGGCCTACCACAAATATGCTCAATTGTCATGAAAATAAAAAGAGAAATTAGGTTTTTCTGTTGATGTATTTCATTTGGGCACCGGAGAACTGCTGTAGTCCAACACATCTTTCTGGCTGTTACGGTCACAGTCGGGCAGACTCACGAGTAGAAAAGATTTGTCTTTAAATGAAAACAGCATGCAATTTCCAAATCCAGCTCAAAGAGAGCAACATTAGTATTCTGTCAGCGGCAGAGCGGCTGGTCTTCTTTCCACCTTGTCAGTCTATGTGTGTATGCAGGGAGGTGTTCATGGCAATATGTGGTCCTGGGGACATTAGCCCACAGACCACTATGTAAGATCCACTGTAGTCCAAAAGCCAAAAGGCCGGGAAGATTCAACAACATAGCAGAAAAAGCATGAAAGCAGGAACTGGGGTGGAAATGGGTTGCAGAGGCAGCACTAACACTATATTCTAACTCATTTCATAATAGTTTTCATGTCTGCTTCGACATGAAAACTATTGTGACTGTGACATCTCAGACTCGGTTAGCATGTTAAAGTTCATGACAGTGCAATTAGACTGAGCAAATATGGCTTGGTGGAAAAAGTCGTCAAGTGATAAAAACCTCTTTTAAAAAAAAAGAACATGGCAGCACAGCTTAGGTTTCAAAGGTTATATCAGAATATACCAAACGACTTCTGAAACACGTTCAATTAAATTTGTGTGAAAACATTCTTACCCTATACAAAAAACACATGCCTATGCAAATTTACCATAAGTTTCATGAAACGTGCACTTACCACTGTGGGTAAGTACATACACACACTCTCAGACACAGAGTAAATTGGCTTTTCTTACCTGCGTGGATGGTCGGGAGCAGCAGAGCTGCCAGGAACACGACGCACGTCTTCATCTCTCTCAGCCTGCCGCTGACCAACTTTGCACCTGAGGCTTTCAAAGGCTGCGGCAGACCTCCCAGTGGGCTTCAGAGGTGGTTTCAGAGTACCAAGTGCCAAGTTCACAGAGGGAGGCCACCAAAAGCACCTACAATATCACATTGAAATGCAAAGGGATCAGTCAGACATGTACAAATAGACAAAGATTGAATGAACAAACCTGTAATGGAACATCACACGCTATCCACATTTCAGGATAGCT